AACCTGAGACATATCTAACTTTGTAATTAAATCTTAGGCGTATGTAAATGTAAGGATTAAGAAACCTGATCGAACGTTTCGCGTTCCGGGATATTATGTACAGAGTATTTGAATCTTTCTTGTGATATAATCGTAACATTAATAAGATATAAATCGATAACAAGGCAAGACAAAAAAAAGTAATTACTATTATCATTCCATGTTTTTTCATAGAGAGACGAGGTGTTAGCGTGGTCGTGAAGAGCGCCAAAACAACCCTCTGTTTTTAATCTCGAACAAATCGTGTAATTTTAAAGAATTTCGTTCACCCTGTAAAGAAGATTCTCTCCCTTGCGCTTTAATCGTTGTGTCTGTTGAGAATGAGCGATAAAGAAACTGAGTCTCAGACTAATTCTGTGAATTTAGTTAGGCGAAACGAGAATGTAAAAAAAAGGAAATGTTAAGAAAGTGAAGATATTGAAACTTTTATTTTCATTCACGACTACTTAGGCGACTCGTTAGACGTAAGATCCCGTAAATTAATACTTATTTATAATCCTTAGAGCGGCCGTAGAAAAGACGTTTTTCTACCAGAATTTCTGTGCCAACTACAAAAAAAACAATGTTGTAGACAATTTTGTTCCAAGTTGAAGCATCATTCTAATCTTGTAAGATACTCAAATATATCTTTATTAAATATATTTGAATTTCGTAGTATATTATATTCTGATATTGATTATACAGTTCATTTTTGTATATTGGTGTGTGATAAATAAATAAGAATATTGTTTCTAAGCAATTTACGTTCGGTCTGATCCTGTTGTCATTTCAAATTGGTTTTAACGATTTTTTTATGTTCTGATTAATTTACTGTATTTGGTAGTATGTCGATAATCGAATGTACAAAGTTTCCTTTTCCTATATTACCTTTTCCCTTAGAGAAGACCGTAGTGTTATACTGTTTGTGCAATAAAGTTGAGTACAAGAAAGACTTCGTTAGATTAACATTAAGAGTCAGTGTGGAAAAATTAAATTTTAGGACTGAATTAATAATTTGATATTAGGTGTAAACATTTCTAAATACTCTTTGTAAAACTTTAATAGTTTAAATTTTTGAATTTTTCAAATTGTAAAACTTGTATATTCTTTAAATTCTTTAATCACCTACTTCCTCAATTTTTTAATACACTAACTCCAAAATTTTCAATTTTTCGAAGTTTCAAATCACCAAATTACCAAATTTTCAATTTTGCAATTTTGCAATTTTCCCATTTTCCGATTTTCCAATTTTTCAATTATCCAAATTTCCATATCCCAAATTATAAAATTTCCAACTTCGTAAATTAGCAAATATTCACAAATTTAAACTTTTCAAATATATTTAATTTTCTAAATTTCAAACATCCAAGTTCCAAAATCACCAAATTCCTATACTTTTAAATTACCAAATTCTCAAGTTTCTAAATTTTAATTCACGTAATCTCTAAATTCTTCAATTTGCAAAATTTTGGAAGTCTAAATTTTCAAATGCCTAAATTACCAATTCCTAGATTTTTACATGTTCAAATTCTGATACCCCGAAATTTCTGAATTTCTAAATTTCCAAATCCTCAAATTACCAAATAAAAACTAAAGGGAAACTTCAAACGATAAAATCAATATTAATCAACATATGATAAATATATGACATGTTATTCAAAAAAAAATCAATATTAATTGAATTTTTACAAAAATGGAACAGATGGCGCCATCTCTCCGGCGAACAGAGTGAACTACACACTTTTGAAACTGTAGTTTCATTAGTTCCCACACATTGTCACTAGATGGCGCGACATGTGCCATTTTCGGATTAATTATATTAATATAGTTGGTTTTATTCACTTGATTGACTGTAATATGAATTGAATTATATTGAAGTGCAAGATCAATCAACTTTGAATTCTTTTGACTTTACAAAATTATTATCAATTTTTAATTTTTTTTAGAGTAATCCTAATTATCCTAAGAGTTTCCGTCTTATATACCGCCATCTAGTGGTTGAAGAAAAGAACTAATTAAACTACAGCTTTAAAAAGTGTGTAGTTCACCCTGTTCGCCGGAGAGATGGCGCCACTTGTTCCCTTTTAGTAATAATTCTATTAACATTAATTTTATTAATTAATATGCTATATATTTATCGTATATTTATTAATATTGACTTAATGCTGTTTGTAATATATTCTGTGGGTCCAAAACAATTCATACACTATACATCTCGTCGATGATATAGGGAATGACATAAAAATGGCCAAAAATTTTCTTCCGAACCAAGATTTTCTTTTCAAATTAAAAACTATTCTCACTACTCTCATTCTCCTTATTTGCAAAATTTGGTATATATCGAAATATAATGATTTTTCGAAGTTTCTCCAAAAATTATTATCACGTACAGAAATGATGCGATATATTGTTAATCAAACTTCAGTTTCCTACAGTTTTTGCAATATCTGTTGGTAATTTTATAAAACATAGAATGGTGACCTACTGATAGATGAAACTTATACCATCGTTTCTTTTTTTTCTTTTAAACACTTATGAACATAAATATGCAATTATTAATTTATAAATTACAATTCATGTTTTTCCTCGCAGTTCTAAAGAAACATGCAAACAATAATAAGGCTTCTTGATACTTAAATAATTGTGAGGGTATTAATTAAACATTAATTTACTTCTTACGTTCAATTTATTTTCCATTGAAGATTTTCAACAAATTCATTGAATGAACATATTTGTATTGACACACACATTCACCATAAAGTCATAAAGTATTGTCTACCTGTTAGTTGTATAGAAATAGAATTTATAATTGTGTTCAGTCCATTCAAAAGCTTGAATGGTTTTAATTTACACCGCATGGGTAATCACTTATATAGACGGAATATGGCTACTGATTCGAGAAATTTCAAATTGCATTGAGAGAACAGTCGAGATCTTACATTTCTTAACATTAACGACGTCTAAATAGTATAACTAAAAGATGTAGTAAAATAGTTACGAATGTTTAACGAATTACTTTACATATTATTAAAATTTCTTTACATTCAATGCTAATTTGAGAGGTAGTTGAAACCGCTATTATTTCCATAGGGAATTATAGTATTTATACATTTCCCAATTACGATCCAGAAACTTTAATCGAAATACAGAATTGCGATATTTCGTAATTCCCTCGTCGGTTGACGCACCAGTTGCCTGAACGAAAATTTTCCTGTAAGAAAATCTTGCTATCCCACAGATTCTTGTGCATAACTACGAACGAAAGGTCATTAATTTATACATAGTCTTTTAGAAAGATTGCACAATACCGCTTATCACAGTATTAGTGCCATTCTACGTATTCTTCTAATTTCCGGCCAATGATCATAGCAGTCGAGGCCCATATAAAATCAATCAATCTTTTATTTTGCGGCGGCTCACACTTTTATTCCCTTTCCTCTCTCTCTCCCTCGCTCTTATTGTTAAATTCTCTCGCACTCATCGCTCAGTCGCCATTGCATTCGCTTTTCCCATTCTCACTTACAAAAGCCATAACAAAATAATTTTAATACTACCTCTGTTATTAGCAGAGAAATACTCATAGAAACTTTCATATATTAAAGTAATAAAAATAATAATCTAAAAAAAATGTATTTATTTCATAAATGTATCTGCTAAATACAACGCACATTACAAATACTGGCACACCTAACAGAGGGTTAATTAAGTTTCAAACTGGAATTAAAAATTGCATTCTCACTGCCTTTATGAGTCAAAAATATATTCCGTTCCGATGTTTGAATAATCTGGAATGTTAAGTCGTAGAATGCGTAGTACAGTGAGAGGATTAGACCTCAGTATACTAGTTTGTAGAGATACAATATTTTAATTTTTCGTTCCTTTATTTTGTCGTTTCAAATCAATTCTTTACCCGTAACAGCAATAAGACAAAAGAAGTCATTATAGTTTATCGAATATTTTTTGATTCACTGTTAGTCACATATGGTTGTGAACCCTTAACCAGCAGTAGAATTGTAGAGTCATTTGTTTACAGTTTTCCTATACATATTGAGGTATTGCTTAGTTTTATTACTCGCTACGGTCATTTTACGGAAACCCAATATTCATTTCATTTGTCCAATACGTATCAATACGTAATTTGTTTTTCCATTTCCATTCGAATTTAGTTAAACCAATAGCAAAACAGGGACTTGTTTTTCCTCGTCTATGTTCCAAAAATTGTACACCCACTCCGAGCCTTTGTAAAACGTATATCGAAGAAACACTCTCGGACAGTCATCATAGGAAAATAAACTCTAGTCGTTCAAAGTCAAATCCATTCTCTAGATACAGTCCATTTATATTCACTTATTGGGAATCGACTAATTCCACGCGTCGTTTAATCGTCACTTAATACTGCTGATACTGCGACGCACATACATGGAACATTTGTTTCGCTGAAATTGCAAATTTTGATGTAGCAGAGAGTAAAAAGGTGTTGCGAAGAAGAAGGAGAAAATGCTGTAACAGAAATCTATAAACGAACATTGGCGTAATTAAAATTATTGTTTCGGGTGAATTAGGTCCACTAGATTTATTAGTAGCGTTAATACTCCACAAGAATTCGCCATTAAATGAGTTCTGGAAATTTAGGAGTTTGAAAGTGAAGTTTGCAAATTTGGAGATTTGAAGATTTAGGGATTTGGGTATTTTGGAATTTGAAAACTTTCAAAGGAAGTTTAATCATTTAGCAAATTTAGGGGTTTGGGAGTGAAGTTTGCAAATTTGGAGATTTGAAAATTTGGAAATTTAGGGATTTGAGAATTTTGAAACTTGAAGACTTTGAAAGGAAGTTTAATCATTTAGCAATTTAGTTTTGTGGTAACTTAATAATTTAGTAATGTAGGAATGTAGTAATTTAATAGTTCAGTAATTTACTCTTCCTAAATTTGAAAATTTAGAAAAATTTAGAAACTTGAAAATTTGACATTTTGAAAACTTAAGAATTTGGAGATTGAGAACCTTGAGAATTTTAGTTTGAGAAAATTAGGAAATATCAAAACTTCTGACACGTGTTAATCCTTTTTCTGAGAGGATCAAATATTCACCCCTCTCCGCACCTAGTTACGCCAACGTCATCAAGTTCGATTAACCTCTTAGGCACTATGCGCCACTATTACTGTGGTATAACTGTGACAAGACTGATACAATTTTGTATTATACGGTATATTTTATCAACAACATTATTAATTAAAATTTCAGAAGTTATGATGCTCATATACTTCAAGACCAGTGGTTGAGTATTGGTTATTCTAAAATTACTTAAAATAGTAATCAGTTAGCTGTTAGGCACGTCGCACCACTATAGTGGCTTGGGGTACCATCTTTGTACGGCGGTCCACTATAGTGGCTTTTGAATGTCATCGTAGATTACATAGCGCCGTGGCTCACTCTACTGATTCGCTCGTTCCAATTGAATGATAATTTCATATGTTTTGATTCACACTTTTTTGCCTTCACCACGTTCTATAAGAGTATTAACAAATCCCACAAACGTACATTACATGTGAATAAAAGGTAATGCCAAGTAGTTTATGCCCTATGGCAGCGCCTCTTTGCACTAGTGCGATATTGAAAACATTTGGAAATTACAGATTTTGTGAATTTTCTAAAAAAGTAAATTATCAAGGTTAAAGTATATGTATCATGTCTTTGGGAAAAATTATAATTTAATCATCAAAAACTTCATTCCAATGTACTCGCGTAGAGAACAGCATTGTTACACATTGTAGTGCTGTTTACTAATTCGCGTCAAATTCTATCATAGAAAAGCAACGCTGCATAAAGTTCCACCATGCCTAAGAGGTTAACAAAAAAAAGTCAAGTACCGTAACAGAAGTCCCTCAAAAATGAAATTGTAAAATGGTACTGCAATACTCACGTGATATCAAGGCACTTGAAACTCCACTGAACAGAGAAACAGAAGGAGATCAAAATATTTCGATCCAAGAAAACGCGTTCCCGCGCGATCTCCCTTATTTTTCTATACACCTAAGAAGGATACACGAAAAAAAGCTGTTAGAAGTAAATGTTTCAAACGCTTCAAACAAAACTTTACACAGATCTAATTAAAAAATACGCCTGTCGTATTGCTATAACATTTTTGGATTACACACAGTATTGATTACCAATAAAAGTTTAAACAACGTGCAGAGATTAGAACTTAATATATTAAACACTTGACACGTTTGGCATTTAACGGATATAACAAGTATTTGATGCTTGGTTTTCTTTTAATTTTTATTTCATTGCAACGTTAACGTAAGTTAAGATACATTAGAACATTTAGAAAGATGTTAAATAGATTTTATTATATTGTTTTCACATCACATCTTAATATTAAATTAACGCTTCGTCGTTTTTCTTTTTTTAAGCTCTAAGGGGATTAAGTACGAAAATTCCGATATAAACAAGCTGTAATTACTAGTATAATAAGACAGTTTGTTTACAAACTTTTGAAAAGATTAAGATTACTCGTTAACTCTAAACATGTTTATTTATTTTCATTCGTGTTATAATCGTATTAATTGATTAGAATTTTAATTTGATTTTATGCTTTCGAACGGAACTTATAGCGCCATTATATTTCTCATTTATTTCGATTCTTATTTATTTACGATTACATAGAAATAGAGAACAGTTACTTTAAAAATGAGAAAATGTTTATAAATTACGCACAGATTTTATCATCGTTTTGTATACTTATACTGAACGGTTGCAAAATTACAATGTCTTCCATTTTTTTTCTAGTTTTCTCTTTTTTATAATGTTAATACTATGTCAATATCTTTACAATAAAGTACACAAATTTATCGATCAGCATATTTTTCACGTGCTACTATACACGTGTTCGTTAAGTCTTATTTATATTCTTTTTAGGTTTTTCGATGAATTGTTTTAATCGGTTTTGCACGTAAACACTATACACACGAATTACGATACAATTTACATAATTATACGTAGCTTATTTAATATTAATCATTCGTAAATTTACAATATTTAGTTCAATAGTTTTAAACATGTATTGCTAATTTATTATAACACACACGACTGTCCGAGCTATGTATTTTTATACGTCAAAAATGTTTAACGTGGCATATTAAAACTAAAAATTTTTCTTTTATTTCAAGTAACGCGTAGAGAAATCAAATTCTCGAAGTATATTCTATAATTTTCAGTTTCATTATTTAATAACAATGTATCAGTGATAGGCAAATGCAGCGATAACATGAAATACGTAAACATTTGATTTTTCAGGTTTTAGGATATTATGTTACATTTCAGAAATTTTTAAGTGTAATTATTTTTCAAATTTTTTAATTTACAATATTTCTAGGAAACTTGAATTTTAGACACTTCTATAATTAGTAATCTAGAAATTTTTAATTTTCATTTTCTTAAGATCTTTAACTTTGGAACTTAGAAATTTAATTACTCAATTTTTTAAATTTCTAGTTTTGATATTTAGAAATTTAGAAATTTGAAAATATAGAAATTTATGAAATAGGCGTCTTAAAATTTAGAAAGTTGAAAATTTAAAAATTTACAACTAAAGACGCTTTAAATTCACAAATTTCTGAGGCATTGAATTTTTATAAATTCAAATTTTTTCGTTCCGCCTTTTTTCAGAATTCAAAAATTTTAAAGTTCAAAAACTTCAAAACCGGCAAATTTAACACCGCAGAAATTTCTAGATTTCCAAATTTAGAAACAATTGGAAATTTCTAAATTTCCAAATTTAGAAACTTAGAAACCTAAAAGTATATTTACAAATATCTTAAATTTCAAGTTTTTAAATACTAATATCTAGAAATTCGTCTACTTGAAAATTTACAAATTTATTTGCAAGTTTAGAATTTTATAAATTTTATAAATATATAGAAATTTCAAATTTTCAGATATTCAAATGTACGTAAGCATGCACCGCGCCCTGAGGGTACATCCAATGTAGTTACCAATCACTGATGTATATTACCAATCACAAAACAAAAAGCAAAAGCTTGTCAAGGGTATTTGTTCAAAATGGAATATTAAGGCAATACGAAACACTCGATCTACAGAAAAAAATTTGACACAGCTCCGACGGTTTCATTTCACAATTTTACTTGTTTGCATTCCATCGATCCTCTTGGTCCTTTTAGCCTTCCACTCTGACGTATTTTTTTTCGAAGAGAAAAAACAAGGATTCGAGGGAATTTGAGATTGAAACGTTGATACAGAAAAATCAGTGTTCCAGGCATTACGACACAAATTCATTCAGACTTTACGAGACAAATATTGCGTGATCTGCGATAAAAACATCAAAGTCGCTGAGACACTTTGATTACAGTTTTCATTGTATTACATATTCTCACCCAGCGTCTACAAAAAAATACATCTGAAAATCGTGTCAACTGCGAGCGAAAGTAAAGAAAAAGACATGACGATACAACAGTACCTTCCAAAAAGGAATTCGCCAGAAAAAGAGATTTACATCGTGAATGTAAAACAATTAGTTACCTAATCAACTATAAAAAATGGAAGAAACATATCGACATCGTACCGATTCGTTTGATCGTTGCAATACGATGAAAAATTTTAATATCGATTACGTGCTTTGTTTTTAATCCATTTAGTCTTACGTTTGGAAACGTAAATCTTGTTTCGTATTTTATAGAAATACGAATAAAGTCAAAAAGTTGTCTCAGCGGGTGTTTCGGATATATAAAAATCAATAAAAATTTTGGATGATTTGTTTTCTGTTTTGTTTTTGTTAGGACTTTTTTTACTTGGAGGGTCGTGAATACGGAGCGTTGCGGTAGCGCGAGCTTGAGCCCGATGTCGTTGTCGTCTTGTACGATTTCCATGCGCGGCTCGATGATTCCTCTGCGAATTTCATGGAGTGATTCATTTATATTATTTCAGTGAATTCAATACCACGACGATATTATTAATCGGATGTTCTCCTAACTATGCTACGCGAAGCGACAGCGTTATGTTAATTCGATACGTGTCTACAGTTTGCAAAACTTGGTTATACACAGTGATATTTTATTCTAAAGAGATTTGGGACTTTGAGATTTTAGAAGTTCAAATCTTTCAAAGTTTAGTAGGTCGGAACTTTGGGACTTAGCTTTGGAATATTAAGATTTCAAAGTTTTAAATCAGAGAATTGAGACTGGAATTTTTTATTTTTGAATGTCAAATTTTGTTGGATGTGAGACATTTATAAGTTTAAAATTTTAGAGAATAATGCACGATAAACAACAGTGTCACGAAAACTGACTGTTTTTAAAAGCGAATAAAAGTTTATAAAAGCTTAAGAATCTCTGTTCAATGCTATTGTCTACTGAACTTCAAATTAGTATTCTGTTTTTTTAATACGACATAAAATTGTACTAAAATTTAAATTTTATATACCTGTTAAAAACATACATAAACATAACGTGTGCTAAATATCTTATCTCACATTTCATATGGACAATTTAACTGTAGTAATGTATTCGAGCAAAAATAAATTTTTCAAATTCTGTATTCTGCAATGTATCGTAACTACTAAAAAACTTGCTCCTTTATTCACTTAATATTTTTATACATATAAATGCTTTTATATATTATTTGTATTTCTTGTTACTTTAATTTCAATTTAACTTTGTTATTATTATTGGTATAATAGATCCAAATTGATAAAAGTTTACTTATTACTTTGAAATATCACATATTCAATGAAAATGTATATAATGATAATGTTACAATCTCAACAAATTACATTTTGCTTCATACACCAGTCAATTAATTTTACTATATGTATTATAGTACAGTATTACCTATCTAAAGTATTCACTTCAGTAAAATAAGTATCTATCAGAAAAGATTACCATTACAGCAGCTTTTTAACATATATTTTCTTTACAGTATAAATTAAATTTAATAGAATATGCAGAACTAATCTTTGCTATAATTCAAGTAGTGCAGAAGAATTTATTCTTTGTTTCATAAAAAAAAATATTTTCATGTTCACTACTTGGTTTTTTGAAAACAAAAACTTTTATCAAATATGATATACTATTCTTACAAAAATAGAATATTAGAAACTTATAATTTGAAAATCAGTAGACAATATTTACAAGAAAAGTATCACTGTGTTTAATCAAGTGTCACAGACTATAATTCAACAGTCGTAAAGAACTGAAAGGATTTAGCTCAAATCAGATCACACGTGGTTATATGAAGCCATTCCATGACTATTTTAGCTTTGATTATGGAAAATTTCTTAAAATTCAGTTCAATGTATAGAAGAATACACGTTTCAATTTTATAGGAACAATATAAAAATTATATGTTTCATTAATATCATATACATTGTTTTATATCTGTTCGATTTAATAGTAAAAATTTTGTAAAAATTTCAGAAATTACAAGAATTAATTATTACAGCTATAAGCCATTGTATTAATGTTTTTTGTTTTACTTTTTAGAATTTTGATGCGTTTAAATTTCTACTGAAGAACTTTAGGTGTTAACTAATTTTTATTATCTATTTCATGCTCCGATAATATTTTTCAAATATTTTTAGATTATCAAGTTTTTCGTTCAATCCGATTCAATTCAAGATATTTAATTGTTTTTAATACGAGCAACAGTCGGTGAAACTTCAACTATGTGTAAATTAATATATTAAGATATTTTTAACCGAAATTATGTTAATTCTGTTCCACATCACACATGCGAATGTTTATGGTAATTTATATTTAATTACGTGTTAAATTTTTATATTATGGAAACAATAATGAAAATAAACGAATAGTACTATATTACCTGGGTATTCAGACGTTTCGTAGTAGTCGTGTGAAGAGTGCGGAACAGCATCGTCATCGTACTCGTAAGTCGTGTACCTCGAGGAAGGGAACATATTATGTCTAAATGACGTATAAAAATACATATATGGCACATTAAAAAGCTAAATTACTCAAAATATGTATATTATATACCATATAGTCAGTGAAGAAAAGCACGACAAATAAGTTACATTTAACTACAATATATCACAGGACAAATATTAAAAACTTTTACATTTGTTACAAAATACAAAAGAGAACGTAACTTCGCTGAAGAACAAATCTATTTCAAATTTCATGGGGTAAAAACTCGATAATTTCCTATATTGGGGGCTCTATAGGCTACACAAGGAATTACAAAAATAATGTATGTAAGAGTTAATGTTAATCAAGAATATAAGCGAAAAATTTAAGTAAGGGGAGACATATTATTTAAAGATAATTATTCGAATTATTTACTTTTTATCTTTTCGAAGAATATATCTGATTTTCATATCCAAATTGTCCGATATTTTATTCTACGAGTGTATATTTCAAAAGAAACACGACACTATTTAAATATTAATAATATGTTTATTACACTCACCCCGATGCTGATGTATAATGTCGGTCTCCGTACCGACTACTACTGCCAGTTGACGTGTGATAATCATAATCGTGATGAGAACCAACGCGATTACTCGGAGGAGGTGTAGCAGTCTCATAACTGTGAATAAAATAATTTTCACAAATTTTAAACAATATTCTTTTTTATTTATTGCAAAATAACATTTTCTTTTAAGTATAAAATCCTTACCCATAACTTTGATCCATAGCAACTCTAGCACGATCCAAAATGGAAAATACTTTACTCTTTGCCGATACTTGACGTGAAACTGGTCCTCGACTCGAGGGTGGTGGAAGTATAGCCGCTATATTTAAGATATCAAATAATTAATCAATTTTCTCGAAATTACGATATATATTTATAATAATAAGAAGTTACTTACCTCTTGAAGATCGTGGCATCGTAGGTCTTGCAGTTGGCCTCAATATACCACCGCTTGGTACGCCCCTCATGGGTCTTCTGTCATCGGCATTTGACGGATCATCGTTCATACTCATCTCCATTTCACGCATTTGTTCCTGACGTATATTATCATTATTATCGGGAATCAAGTACTTCCGAACTTCGGCTAACGCAAACGCGATACGGGCGTAAGCTTCTGCAGGAGGTGCTAGAGCTGTTATCTCAACGTGAAGATCATCCGAAAGATGAGCGTATTTCGGATCCAAAGACATACGATATTCTTCCTCCTAGATGAACATAACCGAATAGAAAATTATCGCATTGCTATCGCGCAACAAATGTACGAAACACAATTACTAGCGTGATAAAATGGTCTTTTACATTAAGTGGTATTTGAATAAAATATTGAAGGTTTCTTCAATATAATTGTAATTTATAATTGTAATATATATATATAATTGTTGTTATATAGAAACACAAAATTAAAAAATACCTTCTGACGATCCTTCATTGATCCTCGTCCTAGCACAGCCATTTTACACATTGTTTCTTCTTGTAAACGTTTCATAGAATTACCCTTAGGACCCAATAATTTTCCAACAAAGTTAAACTGTAAATAATGTTGTGTTACATTTTTGTTTCTGTTTGTACAGAAAAAGAAAGCATTGATAAGAAAACACAATTACCTTGGGGTGTTCCCGAACAGGTACCAAGACCTTGACTGAAACACGTATTGGTTTTTCACGATAAATATCCACATATTTTGGATCCCTTATTGGCTTTCCAATAGCTTGAGTTTTCTGAATTTCTGCAAAATAATCCATTTATTTCTAATTCAAGATTGTTTTGATTTTGAATATTAAATAAAGAAAAATTATTAATATATCCTTCCCAAATGATTTATAAAATTATGTATCAATTTATTAATATTCATTTAATCCACAATTATCACTCTGCTACAGTCAGAAGTGCTAATGTCATTGTGACCCAAAGTGCCTACAGAAAGTCTTATTGTAAGTTATGTTTACTATAAACTACCTTCAGGTCCCCCATTAAGATTAAAGTGTCCTACATTTGAACTTACTATTCTTCATTCATAATGGCCTTCAAAATAGATTAATAATATTACAAAATTAATTAAACTACATTTCAGCAGAAAAATTGAGGAAAACCTCATTATTAACTATAAGTTAAAGTATATCAGTAATATTATAATAAATTTTTCCTACAAAATATGAATTTTTACTTATAATGCTTTTATTGCAAATTAAGTAAAAATATAAAATTTATATACAAAATTATTCAGATACATTAATGAATAAATAATTACCAATTTACATAAAAGATACCTGCATAATAAATAAACCATTATAAAAATAAATATAAAAATAAAACTATACTATGAAAGTAAAAACCTATCTGTTGTATTTAGTATTTAATATTGTATCAATAAATAATTTTTCAATAAACAATACATACATTTTAATACTTCATAACGATAATAATATTTTATGTTGATAATCAATTAATCACTTCAATTTGAATTCATTAACTAATAAAAAAATATAAATGATAAGGCTAACCTTAAGCATCAATTATTAAATTCAATTAATATATTTATAAAACTGTATGAACTGTATATTTATAAAACTATACTGCAAAGAAACATTACAACAATCAAAGATTAACAAATTTATAATAAAATAGAAAATACCAATATGAACAGTGATAACAATGGATCTGAAATAAAAAAAAGAATGTGAATATTAATACAATTATAACAATAAAAGGTACCTTGATCGAGTAGCCTAGTTGCATTAGGCCATTTCTGCGAATCCAAGTCAACTTTTTCTTGCAATAGCTCCCGAACATATTCCCCGGCTTTGTCAACTTGATGTTCCTTTTCATCACGTTCCTTCTCTGATGATGCTCTTACCTTCCCGTCGGCATTTTCATCTCTTTGATACTTATACTCACCATTACTCTGTCTATCACTCATGATTAATCCGTGTTATCAAATACTTTCACAGTAATAAACAGAAAAAAAAGAATGATTTCGTTAGTCCAGTAAGAAAACGAAGCAAATCATCAAACGACCAGACACCAGTTTACAGCAAAGTTACAATGGCTGAACGCTAAGCTTTTTCATCCTTAGCAAACCTTAAGGTGTATATTCATGTATTGACTCGTACATTTCTTTTGGATTATTAAAATGTTCTGTTTTACATATATATTCTGCATAAATTCAATATTTTAATTTTATGAAATTGTTTTTACTTAAATTTGTGTAACACTTATGTTTATTGCATTGTACATTTACAATTATGAAATGTGTACATAAGCGTATAATATTTTATTAATGACTCAGTGATATATTTAATTTATTCTTCAAAATAAATGCCTATGATTTTTGTAAATTTTTAAATAAAAAATTTCAAGTATAGGGAGTGTGAACTTAGTTTAATATTTATATTGTATACAAATGGTGAGAATATCGAAGATATTTCTAGTGACTACACTACTCAATGGTTTTATGATGATTACCATAACCAAATTATTCAACATAACCTCGAAATATGATAATGTGCGCTTAAACTTTGATTTCGGTTGCTAATTATGTTCAAAAATCATAAAAAGTGTAAACGAATATTGTAAAAATGAGTCACATAGTCGTAATACGCAGCTATAAACCGGGTGATGAAATCAACTGTAAGGAATTAATAAAATCCGGTATTATGTCATCTTTAAGTTCAACATTTTTTGGAATTGTATTAAAAGAACTGACGTTTCAATTGATGATACTGTTTGCCGCTATAATGTTCATTTTTTTCGGATTACCTCTTACAGTTTGTTTTTTAGTTATACCCCTTGTTATTTTTCTTGTCTACATTGGAACTTACATAGGTTTCACCGCGAAATCTATGGAAGTTAATGAAGAAGTTTCTAACATACCAAGGTACAGTTTTTTTCTCTTTATGTTTCTTAAGTAACATAAATTTTAAATGGATTGATATTATAACTTGTGTGGATTTATTTTTATTTAACCTTACAATAGTATAACTTTAGCATATTTATTAACAATGCACAGTGGTAACGAACTATTCTGCAAATCTTTCAGTCTTTTCTTCGCTTCTAATTGTAATGGGAATTTATTGAACACTACCTTGTTATTCAGACAACAAAAAAGAGACTGGTGTATAATATCTTTAATTTAAAATACTTTTGAAGTATTGGAACAATGAGTTATAATACTAATACTATTGTAGGGTTACTTTAAAAATTATTTAAAATTATTAGTTGTTTTGTTATTGTTTAATGTTCTATAATTCATTTTGTATTTTTTGTACTTAAAAGTAAATGTTATATTACTTTAAGAATTTTATATACTACATAAAAAATCAAATAAAGTAAAATAGTTTGGAAGAAGAGAATTGCATTGTATAAATTGCCTCATCTATTACAACAGGATGTACATGTCCAATGCATTTTCATGCTTTTGGGTTGCGGAAGCATTTGAACCTTACATAATGACACATCATCCAAAGAATATACATTACACCATTATGACAGAACAACAGTTTCGCGATTCAAATATTGATATTTCATCTCAAGTAAAAAGGATTGTAGGGACCATTGCTTTATGTAAAAGTCATAGATTAGACAAAGGTGCATGGATTAAAAGGCTATATGTACATGAACGATACAGAAGAAAAGGAATTGCTTCGTGCCTGATTAATGTTGCTGTGCAATTTGCTATTGATCAAGGTTATAGCTGTGCTAATCTTGTTGCTTCCGAATATACAGAAGGTGGAAGAGAGTTATGTCTTAAGAAAGGTTTTGAATTGCGACAAATGTATCATAGACCCATAGTGGGTCCACTTGTAACTATATTAATGTATGAACTGACATATCAAATTAAACCGGGTGAAGATGATTATGTACCTACTGCATACAATAGATCAATGCTTAATCAATAAGGACGAGATTTGATGTTTGTTAAAATGGTTGAAGTAAAATTTTGAAACATTTATAAAAACAAATATACATTTCCAGAGAAAAGTCTCTAAAAGTTGCATTTACAATTAATTATATAGAACTATTTATATTTTATAATATTAAGTATTTGGTAATAAACATTTATTATATAATTCAACATTTAATATGACAAAACATGTATGAATCATCGTATGTATAGAAATATGTACAAAAATATATTTTCTTACTTTCTTACATTTTCCCAATATGTCTGAAACTCTTTACCTTCCCAATGTTTCTCTGTTACTTTACTTATGTATCTGAAAGAATAGAATAATTATTTTGTTTACAGATATATTTGTAACATGTAACAAAGTTGTATTAATTATTCATACATTTTATGAATAAGTGTTATGTGGTTATTTGGTGTGAGTTCAATTAATTTTGTTAATAATACCAAAATTAATGTTTTGTTACACAAGAACTTTTACTTTGATTGTTGATAACTCACCAACTTAAGGATGAAGTATAATATGAAAGCCTGAAGACTTATGTATCACAAAAATGTACTGATAAAATATAATTCTACATTACACACATAAAATAGCTCTGATAGCTGGAACTATGGGCACATAGAAGAGAGTATTTATTTTTTAAAACATGTGACTTTAGGTGTTATAACAGAATACTGTATAAAAGAACTTTAATAAATAATATGAGAGGGCTGGGATGATGCAAGATAAGGCAAGCATTCTTTTCAGTTATTTCTACATGAGTATGTAGATTATTAATACAGCTTTAATTTTTATTTGTATCTCACTGAACATAATTTCTTAAATAACATTGCCTTATTCCTGCAATGAATCTTTGTACCCTCAAGACCTTATCAATATTTAATATACCATGCAAAGTTGTGTTCCAAATAAGTACTATATCTTTACATGTATCATAAAAATAATATGATACATTTATAATTGTGTAAAAATAATAATATGTTAGTAGATTAATACTCACTTTTCTTGAATTTCTTGTAATAGATTTTTCTCCCTTTCTGTAATGCCATTTCTTACTAAATCCAGGCTCATGTTCAGGTCACTTAAAGTTTGCATTCCACTCAGGAAAGTGGCTATATCCTCACATTGCATAGAGTACCATAATGCTAATCTTGCTAATTCAATATCATTGTCCTGGAAATATTTTTTAATTTGATATAATTAAAACATTTTATGCAATAATATTGTAGGCATATATTATTTATATGCATTTCTTACTCTGCAATAACTTGCAGCCTCTGTGCATAATTTTTTTGTATTATCTGAACCAGGATGCCAAGCTTGTGGTCCTTTATTAGTTAGTAATCCCATACATACTGCTGCAGCATTAATTATACCAATATTGTGCTCCTAAATTGGACAGAAAATATATTGAAGTATAGATAAAATATTTCTATATAAAAATAAAAATAATTATATTAAGATATAATTATTTTGAATTTTTTAATTGTAGGGCATTGAAATTTATATACTTGGAGAGTCTCAAAGTTTGAAATTTAACAGTTTTAGAATATCAGACTTTTAAAATCTTGCGACTTCAGAACCGTGAAACGGAAAATAATGCAATATAAGCAAGTGGCTCACAAAAGGTTATAATGTTTAGAAGTGAGTTTCGGCTCATAAAAGTGTTGGCTGTTCTATTTTATATCATGTATAAATTTTTGTCTGTTGTGTTTTTTTATTAATAAGTAATTTGATGCTTGTAATAAAATCGTACCTTAAAAAATGGAATATAATCACACAAAGTATTATCTAGTAACGTGTACCTTGCATAGCTCATGACAACGGCTATGTTAATATTACTTTTTTCGATACACTTTTTCAAAACCGATACCGGATATCCGGTAATACCTATATATTTCGCTTTACCATCCGCAATCTTAATCGATAATTCTGGTAAAGTTTGCGTAATTACTACGTCTAAACTTTGTGCAAATTCGATGTCGTGAACCTGTAAAACGAATACAGCAATTAACAAAGTTGTATAAGAAGTTGAAAAATGTCTCTTTACCTGAATGACATCTACGTAATCTAAGCCGAGTCGTTTCAAACTGTCGTTAAAACTGTTCCTAGTCTTTTCTTTCGAAAAGTCGAACATATTTTCGTAATTTAATTCATATCGTCCAACTTTTGTCGCAATATAATATGCTTTACGGGGAATGCCTTTGAGAGCCTAGAATTAATATAATTTAAACGTTGAAACATATTTGGTAAAGTATTTTTAACGTATAAATGCAGGATAATTATTTGAAAGAAAATATTCAAGTACTTTTCCAATTATGGTTTCTGAGCGACCTTGGCCGTACCATGGTGCAGTATCAATGTAATTAATTCCCTGTTTTATTCCTTGACGTATCACTTCAATAGCCTCGTCTTCGTTGAACGAACTAGCCACACAATAAAATACATAAAAATGATAAGAAAAAGCTTTGAAAAATTATTTTATATAGAAATTATGTTTAATTATAACTATAATATATACAAATATTTTGTAAGATTGATCATTGATATAAAAAATAAAAGTAATACTTGAAAAAAATACTGATAAAAAATATACAAATTTATCAATATTATTCGTTGTTATCAAAGGATTATTGATAAGAAATTTCAATTAATAAACATATTTTTGTTACGGACATTTGAAGTTCAAGGCCGGAAATGACGTAAGAATAACTTTCAGATATAAAGAGAATATATCTGAAAGTAACTGGCAATTATTTTATTTGAAGACTTTCGAATAAAATTCAATTATTTCATAAGTAAGGAATAACATTTAACTAAAATAAAAGTTGTTTCGAATCAAGTATTATTTTTTAATTTTGTGATAATTTCGTTTCGTTGAACATTTTTATTTAAAAATCTTTAGTTAAAAATTTTAAACAGGTTTTTGAACAAAATCTAAGATTGAAATTTTCTAAAATAATGAATAGTTTTTAGTTTAAATAAAAATATACGAATTAAATGATATTTATTACTTCTCTAATAATTTCGTTTTATTCGAAACGAATTTTGAAAATTTCCTATTATTTTTGTTATTTGAATTTTTCAAAAAAAAAAAAAAAAAAAAAAAAATATAGTATTTTTAAATATTTTTGTTTCATTTTAAATTTATATTTCAAGGTTATTCGAATAATGCCCAACCGTATTTTATACCAGTATTTTGTGCATTTTATTTTTTAGAATTATTTTTAACTAACTTGTAATGACAGCCAAATGGTCCACCGCCAAGTGATAATTTGCTAACTAATAATCCAGTTTTGCCGAGTGGCCTATATTCCATTGCCTTTACAGCTTCCAAATCGTGGAAACCTTCGACATATGTCGGCGGTAACATTTTTCTAATTACACATTAACAAAAATCAATTATGAAAAAATTACTAAAGTGAAATCTCTTCGTTTGACTTATTTACATAAAAAACGTTAGTTTTGGAATTAAATGATTAACTACCCTAAATTTTAAAAGATTAAATATAAATTATTTGTGTCTATTGCGAAATATGTTTAATATATTAAAAACCAGAAAATATGTTATTAATTAACGAAATAATACAATATGATTTCTGATAAACATAAATGCAATGAAAGCCACATTTTAAAATAAACGTGAGATACTGGAACTATCACAACAAAAAAACAAACTGGTCGTGCATCACCAACGGTACTATATTCAAGAACATTATCGTTTTATTTTTAGTGCTTTTATTGTGAAGTAAGTACATGTATATGTACAGATATTTGTTCTTGATGAACTAGTCTAAATGTAAATAAATTGTTTTCCTAAAGTTCGTAGCTCCTTATCTATAATTTACTTATTTTTAGTTTTATCTTATATTCACTTTCTCCTCATCTGCACATACGTCTTGTAAAAGAAGAAAAAATTCTGTTAAGAATTTTTTATCATCTCAAAGTATTACAAAATTTTCTAAACAGCTTTAACAATAAATTTAAATTATAATTGCATTCATATTGTAATTATTAATGCTTCACATTGAATGTAAACAAATAGTGCACATGAATGATTATATAATGTAAATAAACTATACGCACGTAAAATATATCGTGTTCTTATATTTTTAATTTTCAAGGGCTCTCGAAGTTAAACAGAAGTAAAACTGTATATCTATGCGTGAGAATCAAAAGCAATTAACATTTCAAAACAACATTATCATTAAGCTAAAGAATTCCGGGTAGACTGTCACCGCAAACAACTCGGATTAACATGATAGTATCAAGAATTATACTTTAATATTCTTTGTCACCATATATTAAATTCAGTTAACAGTAAATAAATATTACTTTTTTATCGTATTTGTAATTAAGCTATAACTTCTACTCATGTTTTAAGCTTAATGCACCTGTTAAATAACTCGAACACAAAGCTACGAACTGACACTACGTCGACAGGAAGTAGACACAGTACTGATCGCACGGATCAAATACTCCAACTTATAAGTAAAAATTTTGTTACACGTATGCCATCTTCACGAAGTATAGCGATTCTAATATTAGCTCTACTTTATTGATCCAAACGTAAGAGACTTTTAAGAAAATTGCTTTACCGATAATCGATAAATTAAATTTGCTGGAACTGCAACTCCGACGGAGTTCAATCCAACATGGCTGCCATCTCGGTTCGCGCAACAAACACTATGCAACTGATAATCTTTATGATCACACCATTTATCATCATCGTTATGAATATAATAATTAAGCTATTGTTTGTGATATTTAATTTAATTTAATTTGCGAAAATCATTTAAAGTTTGACATTCTAACTTGTGGTGTTGGCAGGAATACAAAAGTAGCAACGAAATAATACGTACCTCTGCGAACGGGAAAGTAACGAAGGAAATTCGGCGATTTTTATGCGGATACTAAATAATAAAATTAGTACGCAGTTAACAGTGCGCCGTGCACCGGCGGTTAAAGCTAATTTAATGATTTTCGTTATTGGCTCGAACACCGTAAAGCTATCGAGGCCCATCTGTTGCCCGCGTAGATTTTAATATCGCTCCACTCATTTACGCACCCTGATTCAAACCGAATCGTGCTGTTCCGTCTGGGCGCATTTTAACGTTTTCAATTCTCCGATCATTTGTTTACAACCTTTTTGCTATCGACTTATCTCACCTCGTGGTCTTCGTTACTTCTTCAAATCTGTTTTTAATTATTTAACAAGAAGAGATAGGTGATATTGTGTACCATTTTCTAGATTATGGCAAGTAGGTCTACCTACAGCAAATGATGACATTAATTTACAAATTTATTTAATTTAATTTGCAAATAATTTACAAATTATTATATACTGATTTTTTATTTGTCGATTGTGAGATTTATGAAGTTTCAAATGTAGAATTTTGATATTTGAAAATTTGGAGATTTGGGGATTTGAAACTTTGGAAATTTAAGGTTCGGAAAGTTGGAAATTTAGAAATAAAAATTGGAAATATTGCTATTTAGAGATTTGAAAATTTAGGTATTTGAATGTTAAAAAATTGAGATATTTGATAATTTGAAAATGATTTATTATTTATTACAATACATTATACTAGTTTTTTAATTTATAAACAGTGTTGTAAAATAGTTAATCTCACAAAATCAAATATCTGCAAAGAGGAAACAACTATAAGTTTATAAGGAAATACAGGCTTTAACAAAAATAAGAAAGTGGTACTCTAAAAAGTTATAACTTAATTTTCAATAACAAAATCACTAAAATAAACAAAATAACCATAATCAAAAATTTTACTTTAACACACTTGTTTTAACATTTTTCTGATAATTCTACTCCATTTTTAAAGTGCAATACTGGAAACTCCACAAAATATCTCAAGTAGTACCAACCTCATATTTTATCATAAACGATATGAATAAAATGTGGTCAATATATTGAAATTTAACATAACTGAATAGACTCCATTAGGAACATTAAAAAGAAGAAACAAACTGATAGCATAATGAACACACAAAAATAAAATATGCTATGTATATTATTGTATATCATAAATTTAATAAAAAATTTTTGCACATATCTTACGAATAATAATATATCTTAATAGTGTTACGGACTCTATTAAGATCAACAGATTACTGTACACGTAAGTAAAGTTATTCAGAATATTGCTTGTAAAATATATTTCAATAACATTGAAATCAATATATATTCGACATAAATTCTTTTTACAATTACCGAATTCTCCAGTTTGAAACGGTGTACGGATTTTGACGTTTACGGTAACACCGCAATGGGGATCGGTGTTTATACGCTGTATGGTTGCTCGTTGATTACAATATTCACGCGTTGGCCAATATCGGGGGATAGAAACGGCATAGAAATCGCGTGAAATCGACAGGGCGGGATCACGTGTACATTCAAAGGGTTGCAATTAAAATCGTCGTTAAAGCGACAAACAGCACGCACGATCGTCTACAAACAACCAGCACCGGTGGCTACATTCCACTTGCAGTCGGTAACGTTTTGTCGCTTTGTTCGAAAGGATGTTGAAGGCAGTACATCAAGTCACAGGGTTGTTCAATAATTCCGTTGGGTATCGTAAAGGAACAATGAGACGAGTATTGGCCTTTCGTCGTGTCACCGATAGGTTTTCTCGTCGCGAGCGGGAGAAAGAAAGGCAGAAAGAAAGATAGATGGAGTTAGAGAGATAGAAAGAAAAAGAGGCGGACCAAGGCAAGTGACACCAGCTCGTTTATTAATAAACGAAAAAAAGAACGGGATAAAGGGGAGCTCGCAGAGAGGGGTTGGGGATGAGTGACGGTGGAGAACAGTGTGGGATGAAAAGGAACGAAGTGGTAGGGTGGCGCGTGACGCGGGGTTTAAGGAAGCCGCCGAATATATACGCGCGCCGATCGTTCGCCACCGCTTTAACAATTCGCGACGCGTCCGCGTTAACAGCGTTACGACAACAAGCTCGAGTTGTAGAAACTTATAACGAGAAAATAATGAACCCGGTTCACCAAGTCTGCTTGGAATGCGAGCCCCGGTGTACACCCAACCTCTCGCGAGTAGCTGTCCCGGCTCTCTCGCTCGTTTCACCGTCCTCCGCCTTTAACCACCTTTTCGATTTTCTACCGTTCTCCCTAAGCCCCCTCGGTCCGCCTCTATTCTAATTTTAGTCTCCGTTTCCATCGCACGACTCACCCTCTACCGTACTCCTCTTTGTTCGCTTCATATTTTCCTTTTACCGATCACCTACACCTGCTCGTTTTCTTTTACTTCCTCATTGGCTTCGGTGCAGCTAGGATTTTTATCTGACGGGGGTCCAGCATTGCAATCGCTACTCGTTAGATCGCCACGTGTTTGATTACCATGTGTTCAATTCTCACGAATTAGATGAACACGTGTTCAATTCTCACGCCTTAGATCGCTACGCGTTCGATTGTTATGCGTTGTATAGCCAACCGATGGGTTGCCACGCGTTGTATAGCCGCTACATCCTTTCATTTTAATTAGCCAAATTTTTGTCAGTACTTCATTTATAATTTTTATGTTTTTGTGTTCTTGAATTTTTTGAAGTTGCAAACTTTGTTTACTTCAAATTCCCAAGTTTCCTAATTGACAAAGCAGTGCTCAATTACGCTCTAAGTGCTCTATGCTCTAAAAGCTCTTATGCTCTAAGTGCTCAATTACAAGCCCTTAAATATACGTAGTACATGTATTAAGCACCTACAAAATTTCAAAATGGTTACCACTTTTCCACATATCTAAAGTCAATTTCTCAGATTTCTAAAATATCAGAACCCTACATTAAAAAAGTTAAAAATGTCCAATTTCGAGTTCAAAACTTTTGCATTCCTAGTTTGCATTTCTCTTTAAAAATAATATAAAAAATCAACGTTCCATCACGATTGGCGATTCGATAACTTTTCACAGAGGAAAACATTGGCCGTGCAACGTCACTTCTGTTTTCTTCATTCCCCTATCAGTCGTTATCGTATATCCATCGTTCACAATTTTTATATTTTCACGTTCATAAATTCATACCGTTCGTTTATTAAATGTTATCAGATAATTAACATGTCAATTTAATACACCCTTTGTAGCAGATAATTAAAAATCATTCTAGATCTGACACTTGATGCTGCAGGTGCACAGGGAGTTTGTGTGTCACTCGGCTAAATCGCCTCACGTTAGATCACTCGTTAGATCACTCGTTAGACAATCCTTCCAGTCACGTTGTTCATATTTAGGCTAGCAGGTTCATGACGCCTACTTATACGAATGCTCATTGGATCTTTCCGTTCTTTTCGTTTCTATTCCCTTCTATTTCGTCCTCTACTCCGTCCTTGGTGCAAAGGAATATTTGAATGTTGAGGATTCCAGGACGAAAAGCGAGATAGCAGGCGACGAACCCGAGAACGACGTTTGTATTGAACGCAAGAACGAATCGAGCGAGGAATTTCGTCGAGGAATCTGCAGCCCCCGAACGAATGCGAAGACAGATAAGACTGATGTCCTGTATCTTGTCCCTGAACGTCCTCACCGAGCGATCGAAAGGGAACGGCGACAAGGGTGAAAAAAGGGAGAAACAGGAAGCAGGATGCCGTCGGTATACAGAATGGATTACGGAATCGGATGGAATAGCGGACCGGAAAGTCCTTCTTCTCTATTCTAGCACGACACCTCATCATTCCGCCACGTTCGCCGAGGTATCCTTCGACGTACGACGTGTTTCGATCTCTCCCCGAGGCGTGTACGGTGATTTAAGTCACTGTTTACGTTTTCCGTGTCTTTCCCCTGCTTTTCTTGGATCGCGTGGGAATTCGTATTCTCTTACGGTGCGCTTCCTATATCTTACGCGTGTAAATCTATCTCGGTATTAGATCAAATATCCTACTCGCTAAGAGTGTCGACTTGTCGATGGTCTAAGAGAAACGATCGACCTGCTTGTACACTTCGGCGCTTCTTTTGGATGAGCACACAATATTTAATTTTTATGGATTTCGATGTTTCTACATTTTTTTATTTACAACCTTTTGTGGTGTAAAATATCTTAATCTCTCAAATTTATACTTTCCTATGTTCCTATGTTTAAAAAATTCTGAAACTTACAATTTTCTACTTTTTAATATTTTCTAAATTTTCAAATTTATAAACTCTTATGTTCTAATAATTAAAAAATTTTTAAACGCAATATTATTTATAGAACTATTGAACATGTACTTGTATTATTGAAAAGAAATTACCATCCACAAAGAAATTCATCCACAAAGAAATTACCTAACATAACCTAGCCACAAAATGACACAGAATTGTCAAAATGATATTA